TTATTAGACGAAACTATCGACGCCCTACACTCAGAGAAAAACCTCGATCTATATATAATAAATTCATTGTTCAATATGATAAATATATCATTACTATTGTACCTATGATATATTTATCAATATGATAATTTTTTTTCTTGTCTTGAACAATAATTATTTATAAGAATAATTATTTTGTTCGTATTAATAAATCATTATCATAAACCCTTGATAAAATTTCTCTATCAAAATTGATTTAGGTTTTTCTTTAGTTGTAGGGCGTTGCAAGTGTAATAATTGGTTCTCTATCTTCAGAAAAGTCAACGAAACCAATGGTTTTAACTGTTGAAAATTTAGTAAAGGCCAACTTTCAAACAATTTCAAAATTATTCAATGATTTAATGAGTATACTGTGGCCTGAAAAAGTATTACATGATAAAGTATTACTTTATGTCACAGATGCTGCCCCTTACATGATCAAATCTGGACAAGCGCTTAAAGTGTTTTACCCAAAACTAGTTCCCATGAAATGTTTGGCCTATGACCTTCATAGGGTATCGGAAGCCATTAGGGATAATTTTCCAAAAGTTGATTTGTTGATTTCTAACACAAAAAAAATATTTACAAAAGCACCTGCTCAGGTAAATACTTTCAAAGAAATGTGCCCAAATTAAGTTTGCCGCCACAGCCCATATATACTCGTTGGGGAACATGGCTTGATGCGGCTTTCTATTATGGTAAGAACTTTGATAGAGTCAAAGAAGTTGTCAATACTTTTAATAAAAATGATGCAAGGTCTATTCAAATTGTTCAAGAATTATTTAACTATAATTCAATAAAAAATGATCTTGCAGTTATGCTATAAAATTTTCAATGTATCACAGAAACAATCAAACAAATAGAAATATCGGGTGCTAATCTCAGAGAAACTTTTGCGTTGATTCAAAATGTTAAACTTAGTTAAACTTAGATACAGTTCGTTAAACTTAAACTAATGCAAGTATTAACAAAAAGTCAAGGACATTCTCAAATTAAAAAAAATTGTGAAATATTAAGTGGAGAAATGAACAGTAATAATGAAGATATTTAAGAGTTGTCCTTTAAAGAAATTTCTTTTTTAAATATGCTCCTATTGCATCTTGCAACGTCGAAAAAAGTTTTTCTAAATATAAATCAATGCTTCACAACAATAGAAAAAGTTTTAAATTTGACAGTTTAAAACTAAATTTTGTCATTTCTTGTTACTATTTGTTCAATAATTAATATCACAATAATTTTGTTTGTACTATGTTGTTTTAATAATTACGTTAACATTAAATTTATTTTATACATAGATATATAAAGTGGATTATCTATTTTTATCACCTGTTTTGTAATTTTTTTAATATTTTATTTTTTTAACCACCCAAATAATGTTTTATTTGTTAGAAAAATATATATACATTTTTTGCATATTTTCACTTTTTTATGTACATAAATATGTGCATATTCAGCAATATTTTTTGCATAAAAATCCGGGCCTTGGTTATCATATTCAAAAATGTGCTATTTTTGTGTTAAAATTCTTGGTATTGTATTTTAATTTATTTTAATATACCTTATAATGAGGTACACTTATTTTCATGAATATTATATAAAAATAATTGACATAAAATATAAAATTAATCTTATTTAAATTTTTTTTTCTTTTGAGTCCCTACCGTTATTTTTTGTTACAAATATAAATCAAGTACTTGGAATTCATAAGGATTATTTTATGTGATTATATATATTCAGATATTCTTAAAAAAATTACAGTGTCGTCTCACTGTAATTTTTCAAGTGTCCATCGACCACTTGTTTACATAACTGACATTATTCTCTTATATTCCAAATAATGATGATACATTCACATAAATCTCTGATACTATATTTTGAATAATAATTTGTAATATTGAACAACCAATAAAATGTATAACGTTTCTATAATTTATTTATTTTCTAAGAATAACAGTTTATGTTATTCATTCATAATTAATTATAAAGATAAATAAAAATAATTTGCTTGTTATAATGATTGATCATATATGTGCTTACATTTTTTTATTTATGTGACTTATTGAAGTTCTCTAAAAACCAATTAATTTAGACTGAACTAAAAATTTACTTTAAAATTTTTTTAAACTATAAGTATAACTTTTAAAATGATAATTACGCTATATTAAATTGAGAAGATCGATTAAAATTAAATGTCTTAGATTGAAAATATGAAATAAACACAATTATAAACATTTAAATATTTATTGGGCACTATAGTTATAAACAAATTAAATCATTTTTTTAAACTAACTCAACTTGTTTAACAAATATTTGAAAAATTTAGATATAACATTTTTTTTGAAGAATAACTATTATTTTAAAGAAATCGAAAGTATACAAATTATTTTTTTTAATAAATCTTACCCAACTAATATACCAAACAATCATATATTGATTTATGTATAACAGAGTGTGAGATTTATCTTTTAGGTAAAAATGCTTATTACTATTGATCCAATTATCATTTTGTTGGACAATGTTTTCAAAATAATTATTCCCTATTCAGATTACGCTAGAAGTATATTTTTATATTATGCATTTTAGAAGAAGAACTTATCAAGTTACAAGTATTTTAATACATTAAAAGGTATAGAAAACATAAACATAGATATTAAAATACATTTTTTTATCGTAATGATAATTTGATCAAAAATTATAAACGTTAGTTAAGTATGAAATATTCTGAAAATAAATAGACTCTTATTATTTAATAATCTTTACCATCTTTACTTGACGCTCATAAATAGTACTTACACTCAGCACTGAATAGCCTACGACTTCGTCTCGACCCGACCTAGCCTCGTTACCGATTTGGGCACATCGATTGATTTCTATTTAATTAAAATATATTTCATTTTAATTAAATAGAAATCAACGGTTTAATTAAGTTATATTAAATAAATTTATTTCAATTTTATTTAATATAATGCTATAAAATATTTTTGATAAATGTGGATATACCCACATTAATAACTATAGTTATATTGATAACCAAAAAATTTCTATTTCTATTTCCTTACTCAGTAAAATTGAATAACTTAGTATTTTAAAATTTATACTCACTAGGCTCGTGAACAGTTTTTTTTCCTTTAAATTTTTGACCTACCGATGTCTTTTCTTTTCTTTTCAAGCCAGAAAGTGTATTCGGATGCGGTGATTTATTTAATGAAGCAGTGAGACGCATTAGCTTCATTTTAGGAAAGCTTTAAAATAAACACAGTTTGGTTATAACTTTTCAAAACACAAGTATTATTCTTAGAATTAGGTGGTATATTAATTTTTAATTGATAAAAATATTTTATTTTTAAACATTCTTCATAAAAATTATATTTGAACTATAGCTATTGCATTGATCTAAAGAAAAATATTGAAGAAATAATTCTCTCTGGTCATTTCACTCAATTTATTTTTCAAGCCTCAACCCAATAATGTTTGTTAGGCGATACCTGATACATTTATATGGACAATATCTTTAGTAAAACGACAATTTAATAGTTTGAATTACAATTACTTAATATATTATTCGCTGTATATATGTATAATATATTATAATATTCAAAAACTATCAAAAAGATTTATTGACGAACTAAAGTTTTGTTACTTGTGAAGTAATTTTTTGTTCTCATTGTATTACTTTTTACTTATTTTAAGAAAAATATTAATAAAATTACTCTTGATGTCTTAATTCCTCGGGAATTTCTTTTCGTTTTAGTCTTAGGAAAATTTCCTGGATTTAAAGCAGTAAATTGCCAAAAATAAAATATCTTCCCGATATTTACGTGCCACATAAAAATGGATCACTTTGATTCACTTGGTAATAGTAGCGTACCGCTTAGATTAATTAAGAAATTAAAAAGAACTTAATTGAGTAAGTATATTTTTAACAAATTGTATTTTGTGAAGACAATATATAAATCATTGAATGTGAAACGCTAACTGAATGTATAGACAATATTCTGTTATAAACAAACTGGTATCTAACAAAAATTGTAAAAATTATCACTTTTTTATTATATTATTATTATATCCAATGATAATAATTATTTATTACACAATAATTTTGATTTTGTTTGTAAGCTTAATGAAGATTAAAATAATAAAGAAAAGAAAAAATTACGTGTTGTCGTACCAATGACCATGCTGATATAAAATTTCAACATACATCATACTTAATTGATTTTTTTTGGTATAATCAGCTCAAAATGAGTAGACAATTTTTCATCATTACTAATCAATTGAAGATATTATTTTTACCTTCCAAATATAAGTTTTCAAACTGTTAAATCAAATCTTAAATTAAAAGCGTAATTGTTAAATAGCTTATAAAAATTGTCCTGGTCATCACAAATTTCAAACAAAAGTCTAGGTTTTAAATATTGAGCAGTAGGTTTTGCATTCGATGTTACAAAACCTATATCCACGTGATGTCACATTGTGGATTTTTTTAGATAATTAAAAAGTTCACGCCTAGATATTATAGATAAATCTCGGCAATGTGTTTAGTGCATCTAAGTAAATCGTAAATTAGTTCACATAAATATCACAAAGAGTAATTGAGTGTATATTATAATTTCAATTAATTAATTATTCGCATGCTATTGTTTCTCATTAAAATAATAAATTTTATAAAATTTATAATCTTTTAAATTCATAATCTACACTTTTTCGTACCGTTTTTAGCCCAATAATTCATGCTATCTCACCATACTCCACTTATTAGCTAATATCAACCATCATATACATCAATCATATACATATATTATCATAATTTTTATGCTTTTTATAAATTATTTTATAATTAATCACACTTATTTGTTATTAATAATTATTAACATAGAAATAAAAAACTTTATGATTACAATTTAAAACTTAAGTGTTATTCAATTACTTTTGTTGGTAATTAGCCAATAGATACTTTTTTATGAGACAACAAAAAACTCGAATAATGTCAATCGTAATATTTATTTATAGAAAAATAATTTTTATTTTTTTATACATATAGAATATAAAAAAAAATCGTATTGTCTTTTGAATGTAAAAATAAAAAAAATAATATTCTCCTTATGTAATAACAATCATAAATTATGAGTAAATGAAAATTATAGCTAGCTAAGTGATTTTATTTTAATTTTGAATAATTAAATGTCGAATTAAAAGAATCGACCTCTATAACCATAGCCACCATATCCTAAAAGAATATTAATTTTTTATAAAATGTAATTTTACATAAAAATTATAATATTAGATTTGAGATAAAAATATTTAACAAACCTGAGTATATATTATTGTAACCATAACCTTTTCCAAATCCGTTTCCATATCCATAATGGCCATAACCGTAACTTGGTCTATAACCGTAACCAGGTCCATAGCCATATACGGATCCATAGCCATATCCAGATCCATAACCATACCCTGGTCCATAACCATATCCACGTCTACCGCCAAATGGATTTGCCAAGGTAAAAGACAAAAACAATGCCAACAAAATGCACTGAAAAAATTGAAACGAAAAAGCATATTAATAATTTTTATGTAAAATCTACAACATGATTTATTAAAAAATTTAGTTTAATTTGTCATTTAATTGTCCCCTAGAAATATTCTTAAATTTATCAAGCTTTAATTAACAAAAAGCATAAATGATTTTTCAGTGCCAAATTTGTTTAAATTTTTAACGAATTTTTCAGTTAAATGATATTAACACAATTAAACCTAAATATATTTTATAAACATCAAAATATTTTACGATATATAATTTTGTTTACATCACAGCTTAAAAATTTTTGGTAAAATACATAAAATTTTAGTTGCCATTATTTAAAAAAAATAATATTCTATAGTATGGTAATTCAATTAACGATTATGAAAAATAGTTCTTATTTCAAATACTTAAATGTCATAACATACTTTTTTATTTCAAAACTCACTATTCACCACATAAATACTTTATTGAGAACTACACTGTGCTCACCAAAAATTCTTTAAGTGTACTTTATAAAAAATAAAAAACATTAATATTTATCCATTCCCTTAAAAATGAAAAACGTAAAACCAAAAGCTAAAAAACCCAGTACAGGGGGGTCGCGGCACAGTGGTGATTTGGCATAGTTGGATCAAGTATAATGATATCCGACAGTGATTAAATCACTATAAAAAAAAAAACGCTTCGAAGCAATTCTTTAGATAGTGTTTAATTTTAATAAATTGGTGGATTATTCCAAAAGCTACATTATCTGATATTTCCTTATTTATATCCTGATTAAGATAAAGTATGTCGAATAAAAAAGGGATATAAATATTATTTCTCATAAAAAATTGTATTGATCCATACACTTTTCAATAAGTTATAGCATTGTAAATTTAAAAATATAAAATCGAGAATTTTCACACAAAAATACCATTTAGTAACTATTTTCACCGTGAAGACAAAATAAAGTCCAAAATTTTTTTTTCCATAATATAATATACTATATTAGCTTTATATTAATATATATATATATATATATATATATAAATGTGTAAGAGTATCCGGAACACTTTCAACATTTAAGTTGAAAATGTTGTCATCTTAAATCCTCCTCTATGGGCAAGTAAAGGGTCAAATTTATAAAAAAAATATATCAAATGATAGGTATAGACATTTTACATCTATAAAATAAAAATTATATTGATTTTTAAAAAAGTTATGGCAGTTTAAAGTTAAATAAAATTTAAAAAATTTCGAAAATTAACAATTTTTAAATATGTAATTTTTTTAGAGATTTCCCTCATTTACGAGGAACGAGAACTATTTTTTCAATTTTGGGAGTAAGGTCTTTAATTACATACGATTTGTGATATTTAGTGTATCGTTTAAAGAAATCGGTTCGGGGAGAGCTGAAATAATGTATGAACAAACACACAAAGAAAAAATACATCAGTAGGGTTATAAGATAGAGCTTTCCTCCCCTCCGATTTTTCCACTCACTATCCTTCTGGTGGTGTTGGAGGGCATGTATGGGGGGGATTAAACCCAACGTAAACTAACCTAATGTAATAGAAGAGGGAACGACAAAACCAAACGTAAACTACGTTTGAGACCACGCGTTTGATATATCACAACCCCCCATAAGTAAAAGATTACTCCATTGACCACTAATTACATTGCCATATCGCATATATTATTAAACGAACGCCACCGCTTTACCAGTCCGCCCACCAACCAGGGAAAAGGTGTAACCAAAAGAGATGCTAAAAATTAGGCGCTAAAAAGGGGTGCTAAAAATGAGGTTTTTTAAATTTGTAATTTGTTGGAGATTTCCCATGTTACGGGGAACAAAGGAAATATTTTCCATTTTCAAGAGCAATGTCTTCGATTAGATACGATTTGTGATCTTTTGACGTATCGTTAAAATAAATCGGTTCGGTGAGAGCTGAAAAAAAGTGGTAACAAACACATAAAAAATAAAAACACATCATAGTGAAAACAATACCTTCTCAGCTTCGCATCTAAGCTAAAATATTTTATTTTTATTTAAACTATTCCTAATAAGAATAGAACTTGAGAACAAAACAAAAAAACATCATTAAATAGTATATTTTAAGAATTTTTTTTCCCTAATTACTTTAAAAATATACATATAATTATTGAATTTTGAATAATCTACTATCTAAATAAAACTTAAAACATAATATATGGTGGACTTTTAAGTTAATAAGAAAAACGAATTTATATATATATAATATTTTTGTTAAAAAATTGAAGTAAAATAAAAAAGGTTTTAAAGTTCTTAAAAAATTCTAAATGATAAATTAAATAAATAATAAATTCGAATGATATTTTTTGTTTTGTTTTCAAGATTTATTCTCGTTACAATTTAAAAAAAAGTAAAAAATAGCTTTTTTTGATAATTTTGAAATATGGGTGAAATGAGTGTGGATCCAAACTTTATGTGTAAACTGTAAGTAACTTTTTATGGTGATAAAATTATACTTTACTGTACATTTTAATTTATATTATATTTCCCCTACATTTTTATGTTGTAATGTTTTCTAAATTACAATACTAAATTGTTGATTATTTAGATGTTTTAAAAATGAAATAGTTACATGTTCTATTTTTTTCATTAGACTAGAATCTTAAAAATTGTCGAGCTTATTCTTTCCAGCATTAATAAAATGTATTTATAATATAATAATGAATAAAATATTGATTCATTATGGCTTAGTTCACCAACTTTCTTCAAAATACTTCTAGAATTTACCTTTTAGTATTAATGTAGTATTTTTGTTTCAATTTTTCAATAATTTTCTTACACCTTATTAATAAATAAAAAATGTTTAGTTTATAGTACTTGCTCAATAACCAAAGATGTGCACTTAAAACATTAGTATTAATTGCTATAAATTTATTAATTCTTACATACAAGAAGAAATTTATTTACATAGTTAAAATATGCTTACAACTATTTATTTAAAAAAATGTATGTTCTTAATTAAAATTAGGGGTGTATAATAAAATTCTAAGATTGTTTTATATTTCTATAGAAATTATACCAAACGCAATTAAAATTTGTAATATTTACTCAAACATGAAATAAAAAATAATAAAACACCTTAAAAAATAATGTATCTTTAATCTCATTAATGTTCATATTTTGAGTTACTATCGTATATATTACTAAATTAAAATCTTACCACTAAAGACAGCTTGAGCAAAGCCATTTTTGTTATATGATGATTGTACTCTTCGATCAAAATCAAATAGAGAATAAGCAAGAAACAAAGAATACGCTGCTTTTTTATGCAAAAATCAGTGCAAATATTTGTATACGGTTGTACCACTAACCATCACCTGAAGAATATTTGATGTTTGACCTTCAATTATTACTCAAGACTTCGTTCTGTAGCTTTGTAAACCTGTTCTTACTTAAGGATCTTTATATATAATACTTCAAATATTATTATCAAAATAACATTACTGCAAATAATAATAAAATTAGTGAAAAAACTAAACCTACAATTCATTAACCAAAATTACGATGTATAATATACATTTATTAGTTTACTAGTTTTATTTATTTAATTAAATTTGTTAAGAATTTTTTTTTATATTAAATTGTATCTTACTGAAACACAGATTAGTAATTTATAAAAAATNTATTATAAAAAAAAATTTTTTTTTATATTAAATTGTATCTTACTGAAACACAGATTAGTAATTTATAAAAAATTTAATTCAAAATTCATTATTCGCAATCTTATAAGTAGTTTGGGCTTAAAGCAATATTATTATTTTGTTGCGTATTTCGAAGTTTAAGTGCTGTTTTGCTAGTTTTGTATTTTAGTGCTATTTATAGTTAATAGAGAACAATTTTGTTAATCAAAACATACAAGCTTTTTATTTTTCAACTATTGTAATAAGAAAAAACTCCGAGAGTAAAGCACATATCTCTAATAACTTCATGGTTACTTTACACTGTGGTTAGAAATAATTTCATTTGTCTTAATAATATCTTCCAATATAAGACAATAAACCTGAAATTTTCTATTCCTTTTGTTTTGAAAGTCACTGATTTAAAACTTGATTATTAGTTTTTAAATTTATCTTAGATTAAAAGTGTGAAGGGAGTAATATTTTTAATTATAATATTCCTTATGAATTTAACATTCTCTATTATTCAATATATCCAATATACATATTTACAATAAAATTGTGATTTGTTGACTGATCTTAATACTTATTACTTTTTTTTATTTATGTAAGAAATGATACATGTTTAATTTTTAAGATAAAAATATATATTACAAAGAATACGAACCAAAATTACAAATATTTTCATAGAAATAAAATTTAAATAAATTTTTACATTTCTTTTTTTTGTATATGTAGCTATTTTGGCGCATATTAAAGTGCTTAAACAATACTTTTAAGTACTTTATGCTTAAAATAACAATTTTTATTGCTATAATTTCAAATCCATGTTTGTAATTATATATAAAGGAAAAAATGAGATATTTTTTTAGCTTTTTCTGAATGCTTCTATTGACTGAGATTTATATTATTTACACGTTTAGGAGTAAATATTTTTTGTTGCTTCCTGTATAACAATATGTCATTGTTTTATTTAAATAGTTTCATAATAACTTATATAACATTCAACTACAATAAAAATTATCTTATAATAACTATATGTGTTACTTTAAGTATACACTTTTATTTTAGTTAAATTTAATAAGTATTATATTTATTATATATTTATTGTAATATAATTATATTGTAATTAGGTAATTAGTCATATACCTACGATACTCTGATACTGATTTTATTTATTGTTTTAATAAATTTCAAATATTAAATTTGTTATTTTAAATAGATTTACGATCATGCCGTATAAGTAAATTAGTTAGAATTAATAAATCATAACTGAAGTCTTTTAGCTAAGAAAATAATTGGGTAGCTGTATATGTTTGACCTTCACTTAGTATTTATGAGGAAAAAAATTTACACGAATTTGAAGAACAAATTTTATTTATCGTTCTTCTTATACAACCGTCATAAAGTCAAAACCTATTCATCATCATAATAAATTTCTTATAATGAATGGATAACACATTTATGTTTTTATTTAAGAAAATTGATTTTAAAATATTGCGTGAAACATAATTAATCAATTATGTTTAAACCTTATACTTTTAGAATAATGTGAAATTATTTTAAATGAAATGAATAGCTGTATAAGAGTTTAATAAGGGTTAAATTAGTTAAATAGGGGTTAAATATTAATCATAACTCCCAAATAATAATTTATTTGTTAATAAAAAATTAAAACCATTACCACTTTATGTTAATTGACTTCCTTAATATTATATTTTATTATAAACTTATTATAAAGGATTAAATTAATTGTAATATACCTTAAGTAATATTCGCCATCGGTAAACAAATAAATTTTAACAATCTAATTATACAATACTAACAATAAAATAAATATACAGCTGCCGTATTATAATAACCTTGAAAGCTTCTCACACTGAAAATACATTACGTATTTTATAGTTTATTATACTAAATCTACAATAATTATCAAAATAGTTGATTGATTAACATATTAACATATATATCAAGCATATGTGCTTGTTTACATATATACCAGCTTTTACAAACTGGAGAAACTTAATGCTCTTTAATCGTTATGTCTCAAGGTTATCTAAAGTTCATTAACAACTGTTCCATAGTCTAAGCCCATATTGAAGTATAAAGTAGATTTTTTTTCAAAAATACAAGTTGTTTAAGTTGATTTTACTAAAATTTGTTACAATATTTTGTATTAATACCGAAATAAATAATTTCAATAAAAATCTTATTAATTATAGTAGAAGAGCATCTTATAATTTTTAACTTTTTGAACTACTTTGTATAATAAAAAAATATTAACTAAATTTTATACCTCCTGTAAGGTTTTTCAAAATCTTGTCCTATACATACCCAATGTATTAGATTATGTATTTTTTTTATAATTACTCAAATTGTCTTATGCTTTCAGTAAACAAACTGTTTAGCTGAAATTAGTTTTATTTACAATCAGTAAGAACAATGACAAACATTCCTTAATATTTATGTTTTTTAATGGTACAATATCGTATTTTCAAGATATTAGTATTATAAAAAAATCACGAAAAGTATTTAATTATAATTAAAAATAATGGTATCATAAATCTACAAATTCAGTTATTTATAAACTTATAAAATAAAATCAAAGTCTAATAGCCATTGATTTTATAGATTTGTCACATAATGAAAATATAATTATTTATTTTTAATAGTTTCTTTCTCTTTAAAGTGAATAGAGGTAATATTAGCTATTCTATCTGATATATCAATCTACAAGGGTCAATTAAGTTTTTTACCTTTATCGTATGTGTAACATATATGGAGACTTCATCAGAGAATGAGTTAAGAATTTCTCATTTTTTAAAGTTTTTTATTAATCTATATTTTAATGTTACACTAATAAAAAAAAGAAATATTTGTTCTCTGACACATTTTATATATTTCTCTTTTATAATAACTTAAAAATCTTTATAATATAAAAAAGACAAAAATTTTAGTTAATTATTTGGTGTTAAAAATTGTAATTTCCAGAAAATTGTATGAATTTGTGATAGTACATTAGTACTTAATTTATATATTTTCTTTGTTATAAAAACTACTTACTTCAACTTGTTAAAATCGGATAATATAACACTTAAGTTAAAAATTTGGTGGTGTTTTTACATTTATAGTATTCATTCCCTAGTGATATTACTCTATCTAAATTTTATTAACTGATCTAGAAATATGTTTCCATGAATTATAAAATACCTACATTTAATGTTTTATCAAAAGATGTTAATTAGTAAATTTTATTTTAATATTTTCAGATTATATCAACTTATTATCACAAAATATTGCACGTTTGGTCTAGAAAAAATCTGTAGGTTTGATTTAATAATTGAATATAACGTAAGATATTTTTTTAAAGTGATAGTTAAAAACAAATTTCATTCTATGATTTTCAAAAAGTACAGGCAATTCTACCAATAATTATGAATATAATTTACATAAAAAAAAATTAATGAAATATTTAAATATTAGTTTAAAATAAAAAATATAAAAATATTTAACATAAAAAGTCAGAAAATTTACTAAAGAATCGCGTATATAGTAGTAGCCTATTACCGATATTCTCGCCTGTTATCTACTTTAAGAGAAAAGTGCTTCCGTTAACTCCCAAATATGTAAAAGTTACAAAATATACTCCAACCCATCGAATATAAATTTGTACGTAAAAAAATATGTATACATTTTTTAAGCTCTTTGAGATAATATTAAAATAGTTTAGGATAAGCTCTTTAAAAATGTTTTTGTTCTAATTGTGTTGATTTTTCATAATTTCATTGTTGTACAAATATTCTAATAATATATTTACAAACAAAAACTAAAAGTACAGAACGTCAATTATTTAAGTTATAATTATATGTATAGTATCTCATTCATAGCTCTTATAATTTATGTCTAACGACAATTAATACATTTAATTTTTATTGTAAATGTGTTTACATTTTTTCTTAACGTAAAATCAAATGACAAAAAACATTAAGTTAGGTAACATTCTCAGTTTACCTTAAGTTATCATTCAATAAATCACTTATGAGTAATTTTTTGAATAAAATTTAAGTATAATTTAATTATTTTTTATTACATTTATTAGATGTATTTATGCATTTACGTATAAATAATATGCACTATACACTGTATATATTTTAGTAAAAAAATTAACGAACATTAAAATTTCCAATGTTTTAAATATATAAAAATTATATTGCTTGTTGGTACAAATTGCTTTTAACTAATAAGGTAAAATTTAAAATGAGAGTTAAAATATTCATGAAAAAATCAATACAATTAAGTCTATTTAATAAAATTAATAGTCACATATAAAATAGTCTTACAAAATTTAATTCAATGTCTGAATATTTATTTGTTAGTTTGTTTTAAAACATTAAAAGTTAATTTATAAATAGAAATTGGTCTATCAAAAAACAATTTTTTTCTACAGTATTTTGATTTTAAATCGAAAATATTTACTAATCTTCATCGCTATTAGAAAATGCTCCACTAGCAAAATTAGCAACTCCACTTAAAACATTCATCAATGGATTACTACTTGATGATCTAACAAAAAAATATATTATATTTTAAAGCCGATCGGAAACATTTTTATACTCTAATTTATACTCTAAGAGAGAAAAATAAAAATAAAAAACAATTTTTTTTAATAATAATCAGACCAATAAACGGTATAAATACAGTTATTTCAATAAATAAAAAAATTTTGTATAAAAATTGTCACTTATTTAATATTAGAAGTAAAAAAAAAATTACATTGATCCAAAAAGTCCACCATTTTGTTGTGATTCGGTTTGAGTACCTCTGTTGCTAAACATATTACTTGCTATTTCTCTAACTGGACTGGATGGATTTCTGTAACCACCTTGATTATATTCTGAGTTTTCATATTCGTTTCTATTATTGCCATAACCATTATTTCCAAAATATCCATTATTATTTGATCCATAGCCACCTTGTCCGCTTGATTCACCATTCCAATTATTACTGATAGGCCGAAAAAAGTTACTAGAACCGTGATGGCCTGAACTTGATGGCCGGTTTAATAAATTTTGTAATAAGCCGGTAAATCTAATTAATTAACAATAAATAAAATATATTACAGTAATTCATAGCTTTATTTCCCCAAACAAATTCTTTTCGTGAAAAATTACTAAACTTATCTCAAGTCAATAATTAAAAAAAAATTTACACGGTGACTAAACTGACATTTGTATGAGTTGAAAACGTTTTTCTAATAATACCTTCCAATATTGGCATAATATTAAAAAATTTTAGATTCCGGACTACGCCTAAGTTTAGCAAGTATCTGTCTGTCGATAATTATGAACACAACGGTTGGAAAGTACTAACCAATAATGGTCTTTTAAGAGTTGACTTGTTGTTGTTTAATTTTATTTATTACGCTACTTGTGCAAAGAATACTCTGCAAGGAAATTTCTGATTAAGTACCATGATATAATTAAAATCTACACAAATTTAAGGGATCAATTTTCACACAACGGATTCGTCCCCCAATTAAGACTTAGTAAGGATTTAGTAAATCCAATTCAAGAGCTAAAATATATATGAATCAAAAAGCATAATTTTTTTGTTAACTACTGTATTGGAAGTCAGAAACTCAAGACCTGGAGGCATTGGTATATTTATGGAAGCTTCCTTATGATACCTTTCTATTAACATCAAAACATTGTAGCAAAAAGTTCCTCACTACTTTATTTTCTGAAAGTTATCTGGACCCCCTCATACCAATTTCCCAATTACACCACTACCTAAAAAAGGTTCTGAAAAACTAGATCCACCGTCTTTTCTTTAATACCTACTTAATAAGTTATATTTTTAATTCAACTAAATTGTTTGTAATGAAATACTTGTAAATAAAATTACTAATACAGTGTTTAAGAGGTAATAATAACATAAGTTTATATTTTTTCAAAGATTAATTAGCATAAATATAATTTATATACTCACAAAATATTTCTTATGAAATCATATACTTTTTAATTGAAATAATTGAAAGAGAGTCATATAATAAAACAAAAATTTTAATAAAGTTTTTGTTATAATAATTTTTATCGAGTAAACAATTGATTTTTTACATTATTCAGTAAGCAAAAGAACTATTCTAAAATATTTTCATTGAATTTAGATGATCTTAGTGAAAATACATACTATTTAAAAATTTAAAATGTGCAATACTTAAGTAGTGCTAAAGCGTTATATAATACAAGACACTGTTCACCCATTTAAAAGAACCCCTCTAAAATACTAAAAAATAAATAATAAATTAAATAATAATTATAAATAAATAATAAAAAGAACTTAGTGAGCCCCTTATTTTATATTTTCTCCTCAACCAAAATAGCTACATATCATTTATTATATTTATTAGAACAGAAATTGTAGTTATCAATTTTTTTATTTATTTTCTCAAAATAAAAGGATATAATTACTCGGTAAAAAGTTTTGTATATCAAACTGTTTTAATACTCCGTTTAAATCAATTCAATATTACTATTAAATATCTAAGTAACTTCAAATATTGTTTGATTCTCAATCATTCAATAATAATAATTTACATGACTCTGTAAATAGATTAAATTGTTGATGATTACGACTCATAAATTAATTTAGGGAAAATTAAAATATTATTTTAATATAGGTATTGCAAAACTATGATGTTAGTACTATTAGTTTCTAAAAAAAAAAAAGATATTTTTGTAATTCATTCTAAAGAAAACAATTAAATAAATGATGATATAAGTTTACCATATTTAATGTATTTAACTTTTTAATTTCAAAACGAATTTCAATGATTTTTATTAAAGTTAAAAAAAAAAAGAATATGTTATAATATTAAAACAATTTTTGCAACAGAATATTATGATATCATTTGATAGGATGTAAAAACATTATTTTTGATCACTATTTATACAATATTTTTTGGTATTATACATAGCCGTAAATACTTCATTTAAAAAAATGTTTAATTATTTTATTAAAAAATCATTTTATAATTAATAATAATAATAACAATAATAATTGTAATAAAAATTATTTAGTATACAAATATAGGATAAAACGTTAAGTTCTGAACAAATAAGTAGTTATTTACTTTTTCAGAATATCTTATTTGAATATTACTCTTAAATATCGAACAAATAGTTTTGTCAAATTATTTCTAAATGGTTATACTTAATAAATAAATACATTATAAAAATCTTCCAATCTTAAATTTATAAAAATGATGTTGACAGTTTTCGTAGTAATTTTATCAGCAGTTTATTTAAACATCATCATTTATCGTAATTATCCAATAAAGGCACCTATGAGTCTCGTGATAAGTGATGGACGGCTACCAAAAAGACCCCTAAATTAAATTACAAATACAATATTAATACAATTATATGTATTTGGAAACAGTTCAGTTATGAATTTAAAATTGTGCATATCTTCTTGTAATAAAAAATAGAGCATAATAATAAGAAGAATGTAAAGAGAACTTTTCAACATATATATAATTATATTTTCAATAAAATTTTCGATATTTCAATGAACACAAAATAGCTGTAACTGTATGGGGATGTAAATATAATACTCATCATCTTTTTTAAAATTCAAAGTATCTGAACGAAAAATTTAACAAAGCATTTGGACAAAAGCGAAATTATTAATAAAGTCTTCGTTATAGACGTTTTATTTATAAATGAAATATAAATACAATAATGTAATTATCTATAAAATTATAAATTGTAATTTTGACATCTGAGAAAATTATGTTAACTTCAAAAATTTTTTAAATAATACTATAAAGAAGTTCAAAAAGAATTTCCCGACAATATGAACTTAGTATAAAATTAAATAATTCTACTAAGAATTTTAGAATCACCATTGAACAAAATAAAAAAATATTGAACTATAATATATTAGTCTTCAAATTTTTACTTGTATTAATTTAAAAGGTTAAATCTTAAAAAATATAATTTCAATAAAATTAGCTACTTAATTGATAAGAGACAACATTTAAATGTTTAATTTTGCATATTTTAAATTTAAAAAACTCTATAAACTAGAATTTTTTTATTTTTTGATATATTAATTAAGAATATTATTTAGATAAAAATATAATTTTATTAGCTAATGTCTTAAGAATATATTAAAAATGTGCACTAATCCATCCATAATGATTTTAATAAATTATTATATTGCCTAATATTCCTATCATAATATATTTATGATAGTATATCATAAATATATATGTTTAAACAAAAATACAGTTTTACCTAAAACAAATAAAATTAATCCTAATTAATCACATGAACAAAAAATTACCATATAGACTGTTTTAAAATATATGATTTCATAAGTTCATAATTTAAATCTTTAATTTTAGAGTAACAAAAAATTAATTAGTATTTTCTTCGTTTTTTTTTATTTTTAGGTTGTAAAAATATAATGTCTTCAATAACTTAAGTAGTAGAGTACACAGGGGTAAAATTCTATACGGGTTAAAGTCCAATATAAAAAAAAATAATTACATTTTATAGTTATGAACCAATAGTTGATAAATATCAATTATTAAACCATTTTTACATATATTTTAGTCAATCCAATCATTAAATTAAAATTTAAATACATTATACAAATTATAAAAATTGTTCATATTTTCTATTATATTTCTCTTTTTAAAGTTTAAAAAACAATTTTGTAAATGCTTAAACTTTATTTCATTGGATACGGAATATTTTTATTGTATGATGAGATTATTTATTTATGACATTTATTTTCGCATATATTTGTTGGCATGTTATATAAAGGAAATATTTTGATTTGGGATAAAAATCCAACGTAGCTCTAAAAGAATAAATGTTATACTTCAAATAAATGAGATTTATACATTATTTGATTTTAATTAAATAATTGATCTAATAATTTGTTTGAAAATATATTAAATGAAGGGTCGGCGGGAATAACGTGCTATGTAACAATTTGTAAATTGTTCAGTATCAAGTAAAAACAAAATTACTTATGTTATTTCGTTTAAATATTATTTGGACTGCACGTAGCACGTTCTTCCAACTTTAAACATAATCAAATATCTAATTCTATAAATATATTGAGATAGACTCATAGCAAGTTATTCCGCAAAAAAATGAAATGGGAAAAAGTGTTACATAGCATGTTATTCCCGCCGACCCTTCAAATATTGAAAAATATTATTTTTTAGAAAAAAAATTATTCCTAAATGGCTAAATTTTTTTTTTTTTTGTCATTATACACTGTCATTAATTTTTTATTTCGAGTAAAAAAAAAATAATTCATAACAGTCCTGTATTACTAATTAAATATGATACATCAAAGTGCGTAATTTTACCCCAGTTTTTCTAAATACTATTATAATCACATATCATTTGATATAATTTGATTAATCTAATATTTTGGAATGTCATTGTTCACCATAAATTTCATTCATATAAAAATATTTATAAAAAGAATTTTCGTATTGCATTTTCTCTAAATTTTATGACATTTTTTACACGTGTTCTTATATTCATAAATTATTTCTTAAAGATAAAATTATACTTCTAAGTTAATACATACCCGCTGCTACCATGATTTCCACCGAAAAGTCCAAATCTGCTGTCTAGATCTGTACCATTACCGGTTTGGTTATATCCAATTCCTGTGACTTCTGAAGATCCGAGAGATCCTGAATTATTTGAAGATCCTACATTAGAATAACTTCCAGATCCACTGTTATGCTCTGGTCTCTGTTGTTGTTGAGGACGTTGTTGAAATGAACCGCTGTTACCGTTATTATAGTTACCTTGATTTCCTCTATCGGTGTAATGTGTTCCTTGTGGATTTCCAAATACTTGTGCGACAAGCACAATTATCAAAACAGTGCTCTGTATAATTAAATCAGAATTTCATCTTTTTATGTTCATTAACTTTAAAGTTAAAAAATTGTAAAATTAAGTATAAGAACATATGTAAAACAGTTTTTTTAGTTAACTTTTTTTTTTAATAGATATTTTAATCTATTATAATGAAGTCTATGCATCAATGAATAGCAGAAAAAATGCACACTGAAATTTACCGAAAGTAGTATTAAGGTCTATTTATAGAATAATATAACATTGATATGGCAATATTTCATTAGTATCAAATTCCAAAATTGTTAATTTATTAAGAAATCACAATTATATATATATAAGATACTAAACTTCCAGGGCATTTTACAGTACTTAAATTTTCTATATTCAGAGGCAAAATTAGGAAAGATCCCAGAAGAAACGTGCGTCTATAAAAATATGACAGTATAAATGAATAAGTTTTTTATGCTAATAGCACAAAAAAGTAATAAGTAAAATCACAATCAAAACGAAAAAAACTTGAAATTCTTACGTTTTTTTTTTTAGACAATAAATTGGGCCTCTACATTATTAAATTTGACACCCAAAGGCTATTACAACTTATTGATTCAAGACTTATTCAAAGTAAAAAATGTGAAATAGAATTGAATTCTTTTCTAAAAACATAAGCGTAACGTAGAGGATTTAATGAAGAATGAGCCTTCCAAAAATTATGAAAATTACATATAAATTTATGTAAAGACAACACCTTTTAATATTCATATCGAAGGTAATATTATTAATGAAAGGAGAAATTAAGTTATTCCTGCCAAATGTTTTAATCAATTTGAGCCTATGCAAAAAAATATTTATTTAATAAACCTCTCTTATTATTTTAATAGAAAATTAAAACAAATAAAATGACATGATATACTTATAATAATGTGAATAGTTACCAAAAAATTCATAGTAGCGTTACAAGTTATTAAGTGCAATAATAATAATCTTCGGTGAGGTGCGTTCGCTTGTATATTGCTTGGCCGAACACTTTATTATAAATGCCTTTTATACATAAATCCACAAAGGAATTGGAGAGCTGGAAGGTAAAATGTTATTAACCGTTTTTATTTTCTAGGTAACACTAATTAGTATAGATATTTATATCATTACAGTAATTACTGCCAAATGTCTTATTACCTTAACTTCTTTCTTTACTTTTTAGCTCACGTTTTTGTATAAACATTTTTAAATAATGCATCAAATCAATTATAATGAGTATCATATTGAAGATTTTTTTCCAGATAATACTCACAGTTTTTATTAAATTTTATCAAGAATAATTTTATTTTCATTATAATATATTTATTCGAGAAAGTATATTTAATTTAAATGAAATTTTATAAAATAATTATTTTTTTGTAATCGAACTTTAAAAATTCTGAAATTAAATTGATAATATTTAATTGAAAATATATTACTATCATGAAATAAATAATAACTTGTTGTGTCATTGAAAAAATGTTTTATTAATAATACAATATAATATATAATTTTAATGCATTTTTATATGTCGAGAGATGTAGTTTTACTTAGAATAACGCTTGAATTTATCTAGTATTTAGTTTTATAATGACTTTTTAATTACTAGAGAAATAAATAACACAGTTAATAACCTTAAAATTGACCCAGACAAGAAATTAATGATTATTAATGAATAGATTTTATTCATTATTTCTTAAAAATATTATAACAAAAAATTTTAATTTTGGTTTTTTAAACACTTTTTCATACCTATTTATTAGAAAAATTGTTTTTTTTAAGAACAATTATTGAAACTAAATGATTTTACAATTAGGTATCAAACTAAAAATAAAAGTTCACGTCAGTAGAATTAAAATGTTACTAAATATTTTTATGGAAATAATAAGGATATATGAAAATATATCAATTATTCTAAGAAATTTAAAAATAAAATTATGAATATAGAGAAAAATGAATAAATCATCACAAAGTAAAATTCAAATTCATTATGACGAAGATATTTCGGCATAACTTTATTAATGCATGTGTAATGATGGCCTTTTTTTAAACATTTAATTTCATATACCTTCATTTAAAAACAATTTTACAATTTCAACTTTTGTAAAAACTATAAATTTACATACACATATTAAAAAAAAATTAACAATATATAAGAAACATTATATGGGAAAATTTGGATAAATAGTAATAAAAATAATAGATTTGTGTACACATTTTCAGTCTTTTATATACAAATATATAATATTTGTATGTCACTAACTAAATTTGATTATTTATGTAATGATTTGCATTAGTTAAAATGTACAACTTTTTTCTCTTTATTCTTTTTTATCTGTCATTATCTATATAAAATGTCTAATTGAAAAAGATACTTAAAGAAATGATCTAAAAATTAATATACGTCTCTATGATATTTTTAATACACGGCTAATTTCACACACAATACAGTAATTTTGACATAAAAAACAAAAATTCATACACAAATAAAACATTTATATATTATTCATCAATATTTTCCCTAGCAATGTATACGTTAAAAACTTCTAATATTAAAAAAAAAAAATCACATTTTGATAGGTAATTCAAATAATATAATATGCCATCAATTATAAGGATATTTTATTAGATAAGGTCACATTTGTTTTCAAATTAGACGACTTGAAAACTGTAATAATTCAGACGTTGAAATTTTCTAGGGAAACATTCAATAATTTTACTAATAACTTAAAGATAAACAATAATTAATAGAAAACTAAAAAAAAAAAAATAATAATTTTCAACCATAAATCATATTTTGAAAATTTATAAAATACATAACATGTATATTTTTTAGTAATTTTTATGGTTTTGAATATTTTTGATTTAAATATTATAAATAATTTGTACATTAAATTAATATTAGCTACAAGTGATAAATTATTATTATATAATATAATACATTTCCAAAAATTCATCAATATTTTAATTATGTGCAATGACGACATTATACATTTTTATGTATTTAAATTTCTTGTAAAAATTGTTAAAATTAATTAATTAATTAAAGATATATAAATATATATATATTTAATTTTTAAACTCTATGTACTTCTTTAACATAATATTAGTACTTACTTTTAGCCATCTACTTCGTGTACACGAATGACACTGCAAATCTCTTGTTATACGTTTCAATTATTCCAACACTCAAGAAAACGATTACTTGACAAGTATTCGGTATTACCTAGGACGATAAACATAAATATAAATATTATAAAAATATTAAATAATCACACTATGTACATTTGATAAGGGTATTCCCGAAGTATTTAATTAATTATAATGATATGAATCAAAATAGCTACTTGAAAAAGATATGGGAAAACAACTAAACAATGTTATCTTTAGTACAAAGATGACATTTATGGCTTTTTAGAATTTGTATCTAGAGCCAAACTATGAACCTCCAGTAATAATTTGATGAGCCAATAACAGTAAATTAAACACTACAGGTTCAAAAATTTTAATTCTTTTTAATGCGAAAATCCTGTTGAAAATTTCCCCCTAAAATGTTTTCTAATAAATGGTTCTACCTTTATTGAAATTTTGTAAAGAATACATCATATAACTATAGGCGTAAGAATAATTTATCTAACCCATTAACATTAAATTTAAATTTAAATAATATTTAAATTATTCAATAATAAAAATTGATCACTTGTGGCTAATTAATTAAGTAAAATTATTCCTTGCCACAAGTGATACATCTCATAATATAAACACTGTTTATTAAACAGTTATAAACCTCTTTTTAGGGATAATATTAACCCTAAATGGGCCGTAAATGTGAGAATAAAATTTTTATATTAAAAAGTTTTATAGTTCAATTTAAACAATTTAAAATTAACAACCTATATAACTAATACAAAGTACTAGATAAGTTATGAAATAATTATTTTAGTGTTACAAATCATAGTGTTGGTTTAGATCATCGTTTCAACTACTACTTCCTAAACCTCCTAGATCCTGAATATATCCATGACTAATACCACTCTGGGCCAACCCAAGGTTTATGCATTATACATACTAAAATAATGACCTAAAAACGTCAATTAATTATTTTTTTATAAATCTAATTCATTAATTTTTTTTTATTTATAAAATTTACTTAAATCTAGATCTCGTCAATATTTTTATTAAAACTCATTTAATAATTTTATAATGAAATTGATTTAGACAAATTGATGTATCCTATACTAATATAATATCAATATATATTGATGTTGCTTAAATTAAAACAGTTTTATCAAAACATTAATTTATAATTCTCAACAAATTAAAAACAATATTATGAAATTTTTTTTGGTTTCTTTAAAAACGTGTTTTTCTTTATTTATCAATTATACAGTACTTTTTCTTTGATCTTTTATATCTTATTAATTGAAACATACATATTTAACAAGCTAATACTTAGGAAGTGATTAACATGTTATAGTGAAGACAAAAGGTAAAACGTTGTTTTTTTTATCACTAGTCATTTCTCAGCCGCACTCTTCTTTTACTTAGGTATAAAAATGTCAATTACTTCCGATATACCGGCCCAAAAGTTGATATCGACTAGTCATTTACTTAATTTGATCATTAACTAATAAATAAGCTAATGTATTATGCGTGTAGTCATTTGAATAAATAAGGTTAATAACCTTTTAATATATAAGAAATGAACATAAAAATTATTTCATGATTGAAAAATAGCATAAATATATATTTAAAACAGATTATTAAAAAAATTATTGATGTTATTATTATTTTTCAATTAATAAAATTAATTCATTATAAATTAATGACTCTATGTAGACATATTTCTTTTTCATTAGCAAAGCTACATTGCTATAAAAAAAAGATGACCTTTTTCATGCTATACATATAGTTTAAACCATAATATGTTTTATTTAAGTAGAATATTTTTTGACACTATTAGTAATTATTCTGAGTTTATCAACAATATTTTATACAATATATTTCTTAATATTTCAAATATAGTTGTATAATAAAAGTAAAAAAATAACAATTCTTATTAAATGGATATGATAATAATCATAATAATAAATTAATAGTTATTAATAAATAATTATTGAAAAATGTTACAACGTTACAATATTTTTTAGTATTATTTTTAAACAGAAAAGTAATTTTCTGTTTAAATATCAATCAATTTAATTAAATAAATTTGATAGTTATGTAATCATGGAAAACAAATAGTTTTTTTGTATCATCAAAAGTAATATACACAATTATTTAAAGTTAAAAAATGGAAATTGACTTTAAAAATCTGATAAATAATAACATTTTAAAATTATAACGTAAATTAATCTTTAATTAATAACCTAATTAAATCACAATTAAAATGATAAAAAGTTTAAGCATTTGAAAAATTGTTACATTTTTAAATTATTAAAAAAACAATGTTAATAAATAGTTATTTAGTTTATAACCAATATAATATTTAATAATTCTCAACTATAATATATTTTTTAAACAGTCAACAACGAAACCGATTAAATCTAACCAAGTGGGGGAGAGTGACACCCCCACAACTTCTCTCCGGATATCAAGGATCATTAGAACCATATTTCATAGAAGTCGGGCTAAAAAAATATTGATAGCACTGGTGCAATTTCCCATAACCCTCTTAAATATTATATTCCTGAGACTATGTAAAAAAGTTAACTTTGATTTAATATTGGTTACTGTGATTCAACATTGTTACAGCATAGTTGTCATACATGTATCCTAATTTTCACGATAACTCATATACATATATTATGTATGAGATAAAAAAATTATTAATACTGTACTGTTCTGATAATGTATGCACAAACTTATATACTTATAACCGTGTTGAAGTTGATATATAACTTATCAAACATCCCTTCATACATTATATTGATATGCACATATGAAAAATCGTATCCTAATATAAACTCTGCTTGGATATAAAAAAAAAATGTTCAAACTGAAAAAAGTGCATTTGAACAGTAAGTTTATAATAAAGCCAATGTTCAAACTAAAGATACATACAACAATAATCTTTATTAAATATAACAACAAATTTTGTATTATAATTTAAAAGAAATTGACATAAAGTTTTTGTATACTTAGTAAACCAAACATATATTACATAAAAATAACTAACATAATATCAAAACAAAATGATAGTTAATAATCTAACCCAATAAATTCATACATGACAACTACAATATGTATTAAATACAAATTAAAGAGAAAAATTGACAAAAAAATTCATTATCTACTAATTCAAAGTTAAAATATATATATGCTCAAAAATGACATAACGATACCCTTTTTTAAAACATGCACGTGGACTTGACGTGCATGTTTTAAATAAGGCTTGACTTGAATTCATTAACCGAGACCGTCAATTTTGAATACAGCACACAGGTATGCAAGAAATTCAAAAATTCTTCAGTGATCTGTTAGTTTTTCATATTACACTAAAAATTTATTTTTACACTTTCGTCATGTTATTTCTAATAGACCCTTTGATCCTGAAGCCTAAGATTTCCAAAAACAGGATCAGCTCAATTGTTGATTGAGTGATTGTATCATTGAAAAGTATCTAAGTAAATTTATGTGAAAGCAAATAATGTTATTAATTGTAATTAACAACATGTAATTAATTAAAAAATAAAATAAAAAAAAATAAAATGTAATTAATTTGTAATGTTTAATTTGTATTAACAGTACGAATTTCATAATTACATTCGCACAATGATGGATTGTCTTCTGTTGAAACAGATATCATTACTTTGACATCAGCGCTACCGCATAATATACTCAACGCTAGGCCAAGGCCTATGTATTATACTTATGTTTTCTATTGCAAAAAATCAAAGACAAAAATGACCAAAGAGATTTCATCATTAATAAAGCGGCAAAATGAGCAGACAACCGAGTTGTGATCGTTCAAAACAATGTTATGTGTATTTTTTATAGCCATATTTTACTTTATTGTAAATTATTCAAGAATTGTTCTTTCATACTCTACTTATAGATACTCCTATAAAATAGATCAATTCTTTGGCTTAACCTACAGCCAATTTATGATCGTTTAAAACAGCGACAAAAAATTTTTTCATGATAATTACATTAATGTAGTTTTCTTTTCTATTACTTCTTTTTTTGCATTTTATGCCATTATAACTACTATATTAACTATTTTTTTAAAAAATTTTTTTTAAAGTGTTTGTTCTCATGAAGNTATTTTTTTAAAAAAATTTTTTTAAAGTGTTTGTTCTCATGAAGTTATATTTAAATATAAGTGTTCGATTTAAAATTTTTTTAATTTTACATAAGGAATACTGTATTTCTTTAGTAATTATTAATTTTCCATAAAATGGGGTTCTTTAATAATATTTCACTGTTTTCAGTATATTAGTTTTGTATTCTAGTCATATACATTTTACACGGAAATAATATTTTTAAATCTTTAATATACAGAGTACTGTGTAATGTATATCTCGATTAGTAAGGCGATATTCAATAGTATCCAAAACTAATATTTTCTCTATTTAAAATCTCCGGTTTTCCCACTTCAATTTTTATTTAAATCAAAAATAAATATCACTACGGTATTTGCACAAAATGCTCATACAAATTGAGGGGTCAATTGAATTTTTGTATAGTTTGTCCTTTTTCCTTTGAACTTAAACTTGAATGAAAATTTCATTTTAGTCTGACCCATCAAATTGTGTTGAATTTTCACGGAGAGTACCGTGTTGTAGTTAATTTCTATTTTAGACGTTTATATAACGAGAAACAGATAATGTGATATCTTTTTAATTTGAGTTTATTTTGTTTTTCATTGTTTATTCAAGCAAACTTTATTTTTTTCAATTAAAACTTTGAACTCCTAAAATTCTCCTAAAAAAAAAAAACAAAGTAAAATTAATACCTTTTCAGCATTGAAACTAAAATAAAAATTTGATAGAAGATTCAAATTCCACAAAACTTTTTTTATTCAGCGAAATACTTGAATAAAAGAATAATTATATTTAATTATTTTTATTGATGCTATTAATAAATGATCCAATACACCATACATTTTTATTGTATTACGCATGAAGAAATTTTCTTCTTGAAAATTATTTTATCTCTCTTATTTTTTAAACAAATAAGAGATAGGTAATAAGTTAATTAACAATAATTTTTGGTTATTTAAAAATTTAATAATTATATATGATAATAAATAAAACACTTATTTGCCAGCACAAATCACTAACTCTACTTCCTTTAATCAATAATAATTAATCTACCAAATGATTAAATGATGAGTTCTAAAAAAAAAAAATTAAATAATCCAATAATTTTTTTTTAATTTTTATTAATTAATAATCTTTTACATTGTCTATTTGGATATAATAAACAAGCAAAACATAGCAGTCAATAAAAATATAAAAATATGAAGAAACTTAAGTTTATTCAAGTAACTTATACAGAAGAAAATAGTTTGAAGTATATAAAAAAGTAATTAGTACTTATGGCACAAGAATAATAAATAAAAAAAGGTAAGTATTACAAATTATAAATAAAAAAATACATCTTTCTATAACTTTGGTTCACTAACATGTGATACAACCAAAAAATACACTTTTGTCACTTGTTTTAATAGTGAACAGTAAAAATAATATTTTACATACTTATTTGCATATATGATATAAATAATATGTGTATAAATAAAGTGATCAATCAGTATAAAATTTGTAAAAAAAAATAAACACACACATACACACACACACATATACAAAATGTTTAAATAACCATTGAATTAAAGTCAATATCAACAGTAATTCAACAAAACAAAAAGTGAGAATATATAATATATTTAAATAAAATAAGTATAAAAAATAATATATTATACAACTACAAAAAAAATTACATAAAAATTACATTGTAGAACTCGGCTTTGATTAAGAAAAAGTCCCTTTTTTGCTTAAAATACTAATGCTCCAATAAAATACTTGAAATCAATATAACCAACAGGTTTTTATAAAATTATGTCGATAATTAGTCTAATCACTTTTTAAATATAATCTATTCACTTAATACTTTTTAAATGAAAAGAACCTCTCCTTATATCTTGCAGTACCAAATCTACTATGCACACATCTTCTTCTCTTTGTTTTATAGCTGGAGCTTTAACTCGTCTAGTGCCTGATAATTTATCTTTTTCAATTTGCAATGCGAGTTTTTGATTTTTTTCTTCTTGTTTTCGTCGATTAAGATTTTCCTATAAATCATATAATAACAAATTTACTATTAATTAATAATTTACTATTAATAAAAATTACTATTAATTTACAACATTATTATTTTAGTTCACTAGACAAAATACACTTTTAATACAAAAGGGTTCTATATTTAAAAAATTCATATCGAGTTATTTACTCCTAACTTTTGACAACATAAAATTTTCATTGAGTGTTACTTTAATTTAGTACTTTTATTAAGTTCAAGTCTAATTTTTTTATAAGAAGCTTACACATTAAGATAGATAATAATATATTGTATTGAATTATCCAAAATTTCAATTATTATAATTTTTAATAAAAAACCTAAATTATGACCTGAATCTTTTAATCAAAGTGCAAAATAATTAATTGTCAAAAATAAATAAAGTTTTTACCTGAGCAACAACTTCTATTCGTTCAAAGAAATTACATAACAGAGAAAAGCATTCTTCAATTTTAAATTTAGTCACATCTTCACCAAAGTAGACAGCAACATCTTTAACAACATCCATGGTATTTTTATATCGGTTGCTCAATTCTTCAACTTCTTTTAATGATTGTTTTAAGAAATCTATATAAATATAATGTAATTTATATGTTATATTGCTATAAAACTAGGCTATAGAAACTATTTTTACAAATAAAAATAAAAAATATAGTTGGGATCCTACATAGTAAGATCTAATATTAAGATTAATAGAATAAATTTAAATCTAATTGTGATTAATATATTTTGATGTGACTGAACAAAAAGAGACTTAAAACATTTATTTTTTTATTTTAATGTATTTTTGAAAAAAACTAAAATTTGACATAAAAATAATAAAATAAATACTTCAATAGTAAATTTATTGAAAAAATTGAATTATATTATTTTAATAAATATAAATATTTATACCTGTGAATTGTTCAGAAATATGTTTTTTTGCCTGCTTAGAAAGTTCAGAATTTAAATTTTTTACTTGTTTTGTAAGATTGTTCATTTCCTCTTCTAGTGTAGAAGTAGATATTCTAAATAGTGTTGAAATGTACAATTAATAATCAGTGAAGGACATTTTATTTTAAGGACTATTTAAAATTTAAAAAACCCAGCATAAGGGGGGTCGCGGCAAAGTGGTGACGTAGCATAGATGGATCAAGTATAATGATATCTGACAGTGATTAAAATCACTATAAAAAAAAAACGCTTCGATGCAAATCTTTAGATAGTGTTTAATTTTAAAAAATTGGTGGATTATTCCAAAAGCTACATGATCTGCTAGTTCATTATTAATATCCTAATTAAGATAAAGTATGTCGAATGAAAAAGGGATTAATAAAAAATATTATTTCTCATAAAAAAATAATGTTGATCCATACACTTTTCAATAAGTTATAGCATTATAAAGTTAAAAATGTAAAAAATAAAATCGAGAATTTTCACACAATAATAGCATTTGGTAGCCATTTTCACCGTGAAGATAAAATAAAGTCCGAAATTTTTTTTTTGCATAATAAAATAAATTACATTAGCTTTAATTTAAGATATATATAAAAGTGTCAGACCTTCCAGAACATTTTCAAAAATCAAGTTGAAAAAATTAATTTTTTGTGAAAAAGTTGTCATTTTAAATCCCCCCCTGTGGGCAAGTAAAGGGTCACATATAAAAAAAAAATATACCAAATGAAAGGTAATGATATCATGCATCTATATATAAAAAATTATATTAATTCGGTTATTTTTAAAAAAGTTATAGCAATTTTAAGTAAAAAAAATTTACAAAATTAAAACAAAACATTTACCTGGATAATTTTCTCAAATCTGGTGTGTGTTTAGTGAAACTTAGCAAATCATTTTTATTAGTTTGTGCAACTTCAACAACAAAATGAAGAAAAGTTACACGAGGTTTGTTTGCTCGAGTATCGAGAAGTTTTGGCAAGGTATCCAAAGTGAAACCACATGCATTACCAGCATAACTTCCCTAAAAAAATTTAAACATACATTTATTAAAAAAATACTTTTTAAATATTTTAGATTATAAAAGAATCAAAATTATTTACATATATGTAGTGGTTTTAATGATAAGGTGGTCAAGTCAATTTCATTATATTTAGGTAATTTATCAATTATTGGATATTTTATATTCATATTATTATTGTTGATTCTATGTGTATTTTAGTTGGTATTTTATTGTCAACTGAATTTAAAAAGTCAAATTTACTCTGAGTAAAAATTTTGGCTTTTGGCTTTTGGCTTTCTGAAAAATTACCATTTTTGAATTAACCTCCTTTTCACAAAAACCGTCCATTGTACCCTTATAAATAACTATTTACATTTAAGTAGTTAGTTTATAAGTATTTTGGTTAGCTTAAATTCCTATTAAATAAAATTATGGCTTACAGCATTTAAATAGTTTCCAATAAACAAAATTAATGATAAAAATTGTTTAAACGGCTGATCTTCAATTAAAACATGGCACATATCTTTAATGCTGTTTAACTGGGTATAGATTTCTGAAGACATAATTGGAAATTCTTCTTTCTAATAAAATTATAAAGTAATGGATAAATTTGAGTTATAAATATTAATAATTTTAAATTATTACTTGAATCATTAATTTAATTTTCAACTGATAGAATGGTAGTTTGTTCAAATTTATACAAAATTTTTCTGCTGTTCCGTATGTTTCTACATTTCCACCATGTTTTTTTAGAGATTTCAACTATAGAAAGATTTTAAAAAATAAATTATAAATTTCAAAAGATTTATTATTTCTTTTTTTTTTGTATGTATTACTACATATAAATAAATACTGTATCACTAATTAAAAGAAAAATTGTAAGATAGTAAATCTAAATCAAACTATTTTAAATGAATTTTTTTTTTTTGCTTTACTTATTTTTACTAACCTCATCATCTGTAGGTAATATCCTTTGCAGACCTTTTAATTTTTCAATGGGAATCGAATTACCATTTTCTAGAGCTTTAAATATTTCATCTGGTCCAGTTTTAAATTGTTTAAGCATTATATTAATGGCCAAACTTCTTTTACTGTCTAATATATTTGTTACAACCACTTTAGGCATACCATTATTTGACATAACAGCAGGTGATGATTTTGTGCGAGGTTTTTGACAAAAAAGTTCTTCAATACTTTTAAAATTTATTAAAAGATCAGGAGGAGTAGCTGAAGACCATATTGACTTGTCTAAAAATAATAATAACCAAAGACATAAAAAAGATTGTTTATGAACTTTAATTATATACTTACCAAGATTTTGATTATTGACTTTAGTCCAATTAATAGTCTTCATTTTAGTTTTAGGTAGTGAGTTGTACTTAATATTATTGTTAACTCGTCTGGTAGGCATTGTTCGATGGCCATTTGTAATATTTGGAATTGAATAAATCATCTGACCAAATTCTGCTGATCTCATAGAAGGCACTGGTGGAGGAGGTGGTGGAGCACACATTCCTGGTAATGGAGGAGGTGGTGGTGGAGCACACATTCCTGGTAGTGGAGGAGGTGGTGGTGGAGCACACAATCCTGGTAGTGGTGGAGCACACATTCCTGGTAGTGGAGGAGGTGGTGGTGGAGCACACATTCCTGGTAGTGGAGGAGGTGGTGGCGGAGCACACATTCCTGGTAGTGGAGGAGGTGGTGGCGGAGCACACAATCCTGGTAGTGGAGGAGGTGGTGGTGGAGCACACATTCCTGGTAGTGGAGGAGGTGGTGGTGGAGCACACAATCCTGGTAGTGGTGGAGGAGGTGGTGGAGCACACATTCCTGGTAGTGGAGGAGGTGGAGGCGGATCACACATTCCTGGTAGAGGAGGTGGTGGTGGTGGCACGTTCACTGGTGAAATTGTAGATGGTGATGTGGATGAAATTTTTGGTAAAGATGAAAGTAATGAAGAAGGAACTTTACCAGATAATGGTAGTGGTAGAGAAATAGTTAAAGGTAAAGGAGACGGAGTTGGAGGTAAAGAAATCATTGACGGTAAAGGAGGTGGAAGTGATGAAGATAATATATCTGAACTCACATTTGTTTTATTTGTACTGCATAACGAATAATTTATTTCACCAGCTTCAGAGATTTTTAAGTGATCTTCTGAATTGATATTGCAATCGACTTCTGTATGTCCAACATTGCAACGACATTGCAGCTGATCTGTTTGTACTGATATTGAACAAATAGCTATTTTTTCAACAGCTTTATCAATTGAAATATCAACATTGTTCTTTTCATTAATACTTATAACGGGAAAAGATGATCGTTTACTTTTATTAGAAGTTCGTTTATTTTTGGCTATATCTAAACAATGTTGGCGACTGGTAGAAGAATTAATTTTTTTACTTTTAACTTCTTCAGTTTGAGAATTTAAAGAAAAATGTTGTGAGGTTTTTTTTAAAATATCTAATATTGACTGAGGATCTTCAGAAAAAATGTTATTTATTAAGCACCAAATTTCATTTCTGAAAAATAAAAATATTTTTTCAATAAAGATTTATTTAAGACAATAGTTTACCCTAATATTTTTGGTAGGATAATTATTACTACAGTTTATGACTAAATGCATTTAAAATTTTGTTTTGGACAACATTCAAGACACCAAACTCCATACAAATTTACAAAAAGTATATAATGTACCACAGATATTTTTTTTGATTTTAGGGGGATCTCCCGTAAACTAAAAAAATTTAAATCCTAATTAATATATATCATTGATGTATTCATGACTGGTGAGTGACGAGGGGATGGATAAGGGATATATTTCACAGTTGTCACTCAAAATAATATGATAACCGATTTTAGTTAAATTTTCATCGGTATAATTTAATCATCTAAGTTAAAGTTTGTTTTTTCATCGTTTTTATATGTTTATATAAGTAAGTACATATATTACAAATACATATACTTTATATAAATAATGTAGATAACATAACTAAAACATTGGTAAGCTTGGAAGAAATCCAGTATTTTAAACCATAATACCATATCCATAAAATATAATTGATATTATGTCTATAACCAAATCAATATTTGATATTATAGAAAGTAATTAATAATGATAACGAGTCTATTTATAGTGATATTTGTTATTTATTTACATAAAACTTATGGGTTACCTAAAATTTTGTCTTGCATAGTCAATAAAAATAAATAAATAAAAACAAATTTATTTTTATAGATACCATAGGTATTTTATTGGGAATGTTTTTTTGAAAACTCTGACCTTTATCTGTCCACAAGATAATTTAATATAGCAACTTTTTCACAAAAAATTAACTTTTGAAAATGTTACGAAAATACTGACACTTTTATATATATCTCAGATTAAAGTTAATATAATATACATTATTTAGAAAAAAAAATGTTGACCTCTGTATTTGTCTTCGTGGTGAAAGCAAACATCAGAGTTAAAGAAAAATTTCTCGATTTTATAATTTATATTTTTAACTTTATATTCCTATAACATTTTGAAAATATTAGTATAGGCAATAGTTATCAATTCCAACAAATTGTCAAGTACAATCCTTTTTGGAAAACGATAAAAAAAAAATGTCAGACCTTCCGGAACACTTTCAAAAGATAAGTTGAAAAAGTTCTACTTTCTATATGTATTTTTCAGATTTGAACAACCCGTATATAGGAAATGGTCTGATTAAAAAAAAAAGTATGTTGAATTAAAGATGTATGTAAATACTATTCAGTATTAAATAAATAAATACATATTCAGTAAGCTGAAACGAAAACGTGCAAAAGACTTACGTTACAGCGTTATCCATATAATTCATTTCTGACATTTGAAGAAGAATATTTTGTAAATAGGATCCGTAAATAGTATTTGATATCTATAAAGTAGAAATAGTAACAAAAATAAACTTACTAAAGTAACCGATGATATATATATAGACAGTAAGTAGATGTATTACCTTATTCAATAAAGCATCGAGAAGTTCGTGGTGTGATTGTGGAGGCGCAAGTTCCTCATCGACTAATCGGTGTTCTTCAAAAGCAGCTATTTGAATTTGCAGGGCATCGTCCTCATAACCAGACATGTTGTCCATTGCAGCCCGCAATCCCAAAGCTGTAAAATTGTCAAATGCAATTCTTAAGTATAATTTACTGATGAAAATGATTATGTCGTAGATAAAATAATTTATTTTTTTCACATACCCAATAGTTCATTTCTCACACGTATTCTTTTTCTCAATGATTTCTCTACGAGTACCAGACAGTTTGCAAAAGCTAAAAGGGTTGTCTGATAAGCAAACGTGTCCGCTTGCTGTAAATCTAGCACTACGATTTCGTAATCATGCCGCAAATTTTTCTTGATCTACAAAAATTGTTTAAATTATTGTTAAATATTAATTTACTTAACATATTTGATTTACCTTAATTTGGGACAAAGTAGTTTTGACAAATTTGATACCGTCCTTTGAAAACATACATAGTGCACACAGAAGTTCATAAACTTGTAGTTTAACAGTAGTATTGCCACAAACGACCACTGCTAAAATTTTACATATTCTGTTAAATGTCATTAATATGTAAGCTTTATATATATTGAAGCTATTGGCATAAATTAGGAATATTATATACATATATGTATATGTTAACATATTTAGAAAATACATTTTTTCTTAATTCCTCCAATTTTTAATTATACTTATGCAATAAATGAAACTTAAATAAAAACTATAAACAAAATAATTTACTTAATAAACACACTTGAATAATAATTTATTATAATAAATTGATATAAACTATTTCTTAATTAAAAGTTCTATTTTTAGCTTTTGTTGTTAATAATTATTTATTATATAAAATCGTTTATAATTTTTTTTTTTTTTTTTGAGTTAACTATACAATTTCAGTGAAATCGCACATTCACAAACCTTTTGCCAAGTATGGACAGTATTCAAGATGTTCTGATATGTACTGTAGTCCAGTTTGAGATCTGACAACAGCCCTCAGACAGCCGACACATTGCAGTTGGGATATGGTGTCCATCAATGATTTTCCACCCATGGAGCCCAACTTATTTAATAAAGTGCCCAGACCATCTTTCTCGAGAAACTCAAGGATCCATGTCCTAAAAATAATAAAAATAAGCATTTCATTGAGTACAGTCTATCGATACAAAAAGTTTCACATGTTATTATTATTATTTGTTTTTTTTTTTTTTGAGGAGGGTTAACTTATATTCATAGATTTTAAAAACAAAAATATTTATACTGAAAATATAATTGAAGAACGCGCAGCATGTACATAGACACTACTATAAAAGACATCAAAAGAAAAGAAACCTTATCCATAAAGCACAATCAATAAAGTAAACGACTATAAATTTTTTTTTTTTATTTATATTTAAAAATTATATAAAATAATATATTAATTAAAGATATACGTTTTAATAAAAGATTTTGTAGTATATACAAAAATTCAGTTGATAATTTTACTATTATTTAAAATTTATTAATAAGTTTTTACTAACCATTTAACAGTTAACAAAGTATTTAAGGTTCTCTGATTTTATTCTTTAACTTAAACATAACTTAAAGACGTTTCAAATCATACTAATCATAATATTTAATTGTAAATTTAACCACACAAAATCTGTATCCTAATTTACTTAAAAGAACAATAAATAGCAAAAAGCATACACTTAATAAATTAAGTATAAATTAAGCATATAAATTTATAATAAAATTAATAAGAATTTTAATTTAACTAGCTCTATTATATGCAACTACTCACACGCTTAATTTTATGAGAACAAGAATAATGCATCGTTTCTTTGAGCAAAACATATTTTTTTTAAATGACACCATTTGAATCACTTTAAATCTCCCCTCCTATCATACCTAAAAAATTATTACTCAAGATTCAAAAGAGAATAAAATTAATTTTACGGAAATGTTCAGCTATAAATGTAATTTTGCATAAAACTTGTATACAGAAATCAGATTATATAAGTATATTATTTTATATTTAAAATCAGCCAATTTCTAATATTTTAAGATATTAATTAGTTACATTATTTAGATTACTATTATTAAAAAATTATATTTACACGTACAAGAGATAATACTAAACAAAGAATACATAGAAAAATTATTTACATAACGCATGTAAATTTTATATATGTAAACATATATATAAACAAAACATCTTTAATAAAAAGAAAAAATAATGGAATTTGTAACATCAAATGAAAAAATACTCATAACTAAAACTTTTTTTTAAGAATTGTCAGCAAATTCAGTGAAAACTGAGTTGACAATTTTAATTAATACAATAACATAGAGGCAATTCGATCGTTTCTCAGGAGGAAGCTAATGTGGGACGGATTCAATTACAGTTTTACTTCTTATTTTACGAATGAACTAAACGACTAAATAAAATATTAGTCCATGTACATAGGAATAATAATTTATTAGTATTAAATATATCTATTTTGCAAAAAAAAAAAAAAAGTTCCATTATTATTAACATTCTAATAGAAAAACAATAACACGAAATTGGCAACTCCACGTACGACAACATTAGCTGTTAATTCAGATGTCTTTTCATTGACGCGATTATCTCCACAACTCTATTGTGTCCACCATATCTAATAACAATCACGGTACATGAAAAATCATATAAATTATTCTTAAAAACAAGCGCTGGGGCTACCTGTGTAACTGTTTAACGGCCACAGAAATACTAGATATAAATACAGACCGCTTAACGAGAATAGATTTGGATATAAAGAATAACGCAAATTATGGATGCGTCATCTCTTAATTACAGTCCTATTCAAATAATACAAAAGTATACACATACTGCGCGAGGTTATTGGGTACTAGACTTCAATTTTACACTGTACACGATCTCATACAGTAGTAGAATAACATAACTGTTATAATAAAAATTATGTTTTCTTAGAGTCCTACGATGACATAATACAACAATATTAATATAAACGTCTTCCACGTGGTCGGCGGTCAGGAATGTTTCTGGAGAGGCAATGATGGCTTTTGGATCGGACTCAAATAGCCATGGGCCTGTGGCGACGACACGAAACCGTTTAACTTTGTATTTTAATCATTTTATTGGAGTGGAAAATATTATTATTACTGCCATTAAAGGCGATATATATCCTCGGAGGAATCGTAGTTCATTTTACATAACGCTCGTAAGAGATAATGATGCACCAAGAGCACAAGCAGACACGTTTGTAGGAGAAATAATTAGTTTCTTGCGCACACATATAATAGAACCAAAAATACACTGGCACTGGACGGCAAGCTATGGCCGCATCATAATAAATTTCGTCAATAAAGTTGTACTCGGGATGGTATACGCCGAAGTTAATGCAACTGAGTATATGCTAAGAATAAATAAATGCAATTACATAATGTTATAAATGTATAAATAATAATATTATACGCATAGCGCTTGTATTACACGTGATTACTAATGTGATTTCAAATTCTCCGGAAAAAGCTGCAGGCGGCTTTAATCTCGTTTAGTCAAATCTGTAACGTATACCAGAGAAATAACATAATATCTAAATAGCAGTTAAAAACATCACCAAAAAACAACTGCACTCAGGACACGCTGTAACTGATATAATATAGACAACTATAAAAAGTGTCAGCTATTGCTACACGGTTCATGTAAAAATAAACGTCTTATTATAGATTATTACAAATATTATATTATACGGTCGAACAATAATTGTGTTCAATTTAATTCAGTAGATTTAAATTACACTTGCGCTCAATAGAAACGCGTTATGGTTGTCACTCTTCGTTTACGTACTTACGCTTTATTAATTTTTAAAAAACTCGCACTTAAATAATGTTAACCGTTTTACGACTGATTCGGCTTAAGTACATCAGAACATAAAACGAGGAAGATCGCCCATTAGTTACATTACATACAATTGGATTGATTAAGTATTTATTATTCGGCTTTTCTCACGCTTACATTAATTGTTGTTCAAAGCAAAGGTTTTCGGAATAATTTACAAATAAAACAATGAATAATTTGTTTTCTGTATTATATACAACTAGTTAAATAGCGAACCGTTTTTCGAACAACACATATGAAATAAAACGACATGAAATAAATTAGGGAAATTACTATGCCCCGAGTAAAAAATAAAAATTATTACATTTTATTTTATGGTATTCTTTTGTCTAGCTCATCAGAAATGTATGTTAAATAGCGAATATAATAGAATAAAATCGATTATATATTTAGTATCTACCTTCGACGGTATAAATTTTTGGCCTAAATTTAAGTAAAATACTAAACAAAACAATAGTATAGCTAACTAGTCAATAATATTGATTATAATAGAATCAATCAGACCGCATATGACCTTATTGATAAATCCGGAAGAATCGAACCTAATGTTGTTTAAAAATTATATGCTTTAAGCTTTATAAAAGATAGAATAGATATTTATAAAAGAGAAATTTTTTTATCAAGGAAAATAAATATGTCAATTTAAAAATTGTTAACTGATGATTCATCGAACGTTTTAACCATATTTATAATAAAAATTATTATGTTGTAAATTGACTAATTTACCTTAAATTAAAGACTTACCATAAGAACCATATCATTAAGAACTGATTTTACTTATGGACTCTGAAACTTTTATAACACGATTATGTTTGTTTCATAATTTACTGGCTATAACAAGTATGGTATAAACAATTTATTTATTAATATCCGAATGTGTATAATTGTTTTTATTTAAAAAAATTTAAGTGTTAAAGCTTTCGTATTGCTTGAAATCTTTAAGGACGTGTCCAGATTTTCAGTTATGAGTTGACGTTTCGGACTCGTTGCAGAGTCTATCTTCAAAGCGATAGTTACAAGCTCATGATTGTAACAATACGGACAATGACTTCTAAATACTTGTAGAATTACAAGTACCAACAGAATTATTGTATAAATATTTCCTTTTTTTTGTTATAAATCTAAAAAAATATGCTCTTTAACATTTCGAAAGAATATTTTTCCATTTATTCCGCTATCATATATACTTTTGATGTAAAAATAGAAGTAAAAGCTAAATTCAATCGACAACGTCATATTCGCGGAACGCACAGCACTTTTGATTAAGTGAAAATTGAATAAATAATTGAATTGAATTCCAAAAGCTCTTAATAAACGTCAGATAACTCCTTCTACTGACTGCAACAGTAGACATGCAGTTATAGCTTACAAGTATACATTCGCTCATGTCTAATTTATAGTAACTATTATGACATATCATTCTTGTAACAGTGGCCCAACTAGACTCGGTGCAAATCGTTTAAGATTCAAAAACTAATTTTTAAACAATTAATTTTAAGATATTTACAGCCGTCGCGTGAAACATCACATAATGTAAAATTAACTATAGTAATAGTTGTGTCAATATGAACGTATTGTCAGTGTGTTTATAAATATTCGCGTCGGTTCACGTGTAATGGCGTTAAAATGCACAAACAGTAACCATGTATTGTGTACCGACGGCTCTGCAGAGGAATTCCTGGGAGAATCCTAAATGTAAAAATTATGGAACAAAATTAGAACTGTCGCCAGCCATAGAGTAACTGACCGAATATTTTGGCTTGTTAGGAAGTATTTAAAAATAACGCGACGCTCCAGGTTCACTCGACACTGTCACTGTTGAAGACACCCTTATTCACCTGGTAGTTATCATCGCAGTATAAAAACACGCACTATGTTTGGGCGTTTACGTCTCAGAAATAACTATAACGTCAACGCCATGGAGTTTGTGAATCCAATAACTGTAGGGAAACATTGAGTGCGGTTTGAAACGGGAGGAGAAAACCTTGTTCGGTGAAAATAGAAAAACAAATGACTGAACTGGATAAACACAATAAGAGAGCAATGATAATTAAACTAATCTAACACCGAACAAAAACCCATTCAAATTGTGTATGATCACGCGTTTTTTCTACTGGCTGCCCCACAAAGGGGTAGACACCGTAATTTTGTTGTTTTATTGTTACTTCTTTATTGCTAACAAACGAGGCACACAAAATAGTTGACTAGGATTTCCGATTGTAACCATTGTAT